ATATATATATATATATATATATAGAGAGAGAGAGAGAGAGAGAGAGAGTGTGTATGTGTGTGGATGAGAGAGTAATTTACTTTCCACCTTTTCGTGTCACGATCTCATCTTATCCAGCACAAAATTAGGTCAGAATCTTCTTACGCAGAATTTGTTTACGCGAGATAATTGGCCGGTAATTTTATCAGTTCCGCCACGGGGCGCAAAGCTTATCGAAAATTCTCCATCACTGGAAATTCGTACACGCTATATTTGATTCGCTGGCGAACGCTAACGCGGTAATCTCGCCCGACATCGATTCCAATAACTCGCACGTCAAGCAATATAACATCATGACGAAATGGGAGATTGATCGATTTCTCATCAAACGAGGCTTCACCATTCCGATAGGGGTAATGCTGTTTTATTTACAATCCCAAGCAAATACCGTTTTTCACATACAAGTTTATAACACTACTACAACTGTAACTAAAAGTGAAAATAATTTGTTTTTCTTGTACTTTTAGAAGAGAAGTATTATACTAGTTTTGTGAAATTAACACGTCGTATTTTCAGTTTTGGGTTTTTAGTATAAAATATGCGGAACTTTTTTTTATTTCGATAATGAACCGTAGAACTACACTGAAAAAGAATTCTGGTTGAAAACGGACGAATTCTGATTGAGATAACCGGAATTTTGTTTGATACAATATTTCTGGTAAAATCTACTAGAATTCTTATTTGTACCAGAATAATTATATTAATCAGAGGAATTCTAGTTATCTCAACTAGAATTCTAATAGATTTAACCAGAAAATTCTGATTCGATTCCATTTTTCGTCAGAATTATTATTTAATCCAGACCATTTTTCTCAGTGTATGAAAAGTGCTATTGGAACTGTCATTATTTATGTTATTAATAGAGCGGCATTCTAATTTTACTACAAATTTGTGTCTGTTAAGATAGCATGACATTCTATTAATATAAAAAAATAATAACAGTTTTAGTAGCATTTTTCATAGTTTTACAATTTCTTATAAAAATAAAAAAGAATTTCACATTTATTTTGAAAAGTAGCAGTCGGAACTCTGTTTAAAAATTGTTTATTGTAAAGCATAGAATTCTGTTAGAATTAACGAGAAATTGCGACAAATTAACGGCGCTTTTTTCCAAGTGCCATGATGTCTTGTACATTTAAAGTCTATTAAAATTGGTAATTATTGGAAATTTGTTCTGAAATTAACAATATACATATTATTACAAGACAACTCGAGAAGTACTTCGTCTGAGAGGAATGGATGTTGATATTTACCTTTTACCTCCGTTACTGCATTAAAATCTCAGTAATATATTCCTTGAATACCGTAATATTGTTATTAATTGCCGTAATATCTATTTTTAAATTCTCTTCCATTTACTATATCAAATCATCTATTATTCCACTCAATATCTCCCATCATCTTTAGCGAATTTATCGAGACACAGAATAAATCTGTCCATCTATCTGCATTCGGCGGGCTGCGAGAAAGGGAATTCGCATAAATCGCATTTGCGCGGCGACAGCGGAATCGGTATGCAAAGGCCAACTATGCGGTTCGGCGTCAGGAGCCGGTGCGAGAACCAGGAACGCAGGATGCAGAGTCGACAGTGTTTGACCCATCGTCCTGGATCCGGCATGGTTCTCCGGGAGCCTTCGAGCTCGGCAACTATGGCATTTCATGTCGGTCGCGTATCATAAATTAACAGAAGACATTACGGGTACGCATACGCGCGACAAGCGCAATAAAACTATGCACGGTAGAAACAAGATAGCGAGACCTCTCTCGCCTGACCAAGCTCGAATGTATCTACTCACGAGGCTTTGCTTCCGCGCCATTCCATCTTCCATCTCTCTCTCTCTCTCTCTCTCTCTGTCTGTCTATCTCGTCCCCTTCCTTCCCACTGAGAACACACCCTTATCTATGGACTACCTCCTCCGTATCTGCTCGGATATCACTGCAAGTTCGCGAACAAGGGACATCTTTAGGTCGCCGAAACTTCCGCAACAACTCGTACTCGTCCGGCAGGACCCACCGAGCGAAGTCCTTACGGAAACTACGAAGTGAGTTGGATAAGGATCCAGGGAAGCGAATCTCAGAGAAAACGGGGGAGAGAGAGCGAGAGAGAGAGAGAGAGAGAGAGAGAGAGAGAGAGAGAGAATAGTTGTAGTAGAATAATAGATAGATATCGGTCCCTCGGAATCCCAGGCAATGGCGCACTTAATGAAAGACTTTGGACAGAAATTGAAGCAAGCATTAAAATTTAAAGGTACACGAAACAGTGTAGAGAATGAATCCTATCACGTTATGGCGACTCCATGTTTGTAATATTTAATG